GCTATGGCTTAGATGGAAATGTTGTCCCAAGTAATTGAATAATCTCTTCTGAAGAGAGTCTGAATTTTTTTTTTTTTTTTTTTTTTTTTTTTTTAGTCCCCACACTCTTATTGTTTTAAATGTAAAATAAGATGTTGTCATCTTTCAGGCATTCCAAAAAAAACCAAGAAAAACCCATCGACATTACAAAGGAATAAATATTGGGATGGTACCAGGCTGAGTTTCTGGCAGTCAGTGTGATGGGTGTGTTTCTGGAAGGGAGAGAAATGGGACAGCTTTTTCTCCACATAACCACAGTCATTGTCTATCGTAACAGTCTAATTGATTGATAAACTGTTAGAAACATTTCTTTCCTTCTTTTTGGTAAAAGCTGTGATCTGCTACCAATTTGTCAGCTTGTTCTTTTAGTTCTCCCCTTAAAAACAAACAAACAGAAAAACCCATTTTTATAATTGAGATTCCCCATGAGAGCTGGTCATTGTTTTGAAGCTTTCAGCAAAAAGTTAAGATTAATGGTGTGTGTTCCCAGATGTTACTCTTTCTAAGTTCATTTATCCCAGAATAAATATACTTGTTTCTAAAAATACATTATAGGGAACTGTCTTGTAAAGTAACATCAAAGCTTTCTTGGTTTTGTTGGTATTTAATTTTTCATTACTCTATCAAAGTTTTGCCCACAGATCTCTCTGTAATCATTCAGATTTGCAACAGCCCATTCTTTCAGTAAAATTTGCTTTAGACTTACACTAGTCTTCCTTTGGAGGCTTGTTTTCATTTACCACACTTGTACTTTCCATCCTGAATTTGGCAGCCATTTGAAAAAATGGTGGTGAAGTTAGCTACTTCGCTCTTTTACACAGCACCACGCTGTTTTGCCACAAAGTGTAAATCTTCCATCAGTAGCGTCTCATGTCACCAGGAATCACTAAGCATTTCTTTCTTCCAGATGGCACCAATGGCAAGTTTATTATTTTGTCCCTGGTGCTATTCATTACAAATCCATTAGAAACTTCACAAATTTGCTGTTAGCTGAAGCAATTCTTAGAAATGCAATGCAGAGCAATTAGGGGATGCAATGTGGGGCAATTAGGGGCTTCATTCTTTCCATAGTCATCGGAAATTCCCTGAAAAGCCTAAATATAATCTCTTTTCAAGGACGTACTTTATCAGTGCTGTGCTGAGCACCTCAACCCCAGACTCAAGTTAAAGAGCCCCCAGAACTATCCCCACCCCCCATCTGTTTGCAAAGTTTGTGTAATTATTTATACAGCATGCTGGTTTTTCCTCAAAGAGAAATTCCTCAGGACTCTATTTTTAACAACAGTGAAATACCAGCAGGCCAGCTTTTGAGAACATCCCTATGAGAGCAAAACATTATATCCACTGCTATAGTTACAAACGCCTCTGATTCCCATGAGCTTCTGGGATAAGTGCTGGGAGACATTGAGGATGGGCAAATTCCTGCCTCAGGACATGAAAAAGTCCATGCGATGGTATAAGAGAGCATCCAAATAATTGCTCTGGGGGCAAAACTTCTGGTCAAAGTCCTGGATGATGATTCTAGCAATGATCTTCTGGGCACCTGGTAGCAGTCTAGTGAGGTCATCAGGGGCCTTCCACTGACTTCAGAGCAAGTTGGAAATAACTGTAGGTGGGGTTGGGAGCTCTTTGCATTCTTTTTTCCTCATGTTTCTGTATTAGGAGGCTCTGGGATTTAAAGAGAAGACTAAAATGAAGATAGCAGATTTATTAGCTAAATATTGTTGTTCTTACCTAACTCAAAAAGCCAGTTTGGTATGAACTGAGCCAAGAGTGAATAAGAACTGTAAGCCTTACCATTATAGATGTAAAGATGGGGTTTTTTTAATAGTGAAAGTGCTGCAAAATATAAGACCTTGGGAAATAGACCAACGTTCACACAATCCTATAGTTTTGATAAGACTGAACTGTAACTAAGAAATGTTTTAATGGTGGGCAGAATCTCTGTAGGAAGCTACAAAAGCATCTATTTCCTTTACTGTCTTGATATTCCCACCCAAAGGTCAAAAAGATTATTTGAGAACTTCTGAAGCAATAGAGAGGTTTAATAAATAAATAAATAAATAAATAAATCTGAATTGCCTGTTATCTCCTTCTTGCCTTTTATTCACATTCAGAACACAGGAAAAATATCCTTACTTTGCTCTTTAATAATAGTAGTCATGAACCAGAAGCTTGTCTCCAAACCATTTCCAAATATTAAGACAATTCGCATGTAGATCAGCAGGATTGTACCGACAGAGTCCTATTTAGAGAGGTGTAAGTTTTCACCAGTTGTGTTGTGAGATTTTTGGAATGGAAAAGGAGGAAGATGGAGGTTCAGTTTGTGCTTCTAGCAAGTGTCCAGATATAAATGCAAACCTGAATTGAGTGTGAATAAGGACTATGTGGAGTACGTCAGAATGACGTCCACACATAAGCAAAATCTCCTGGTTTTGGATTTTGTTTTAGGCTCACAATCCAATCCAAGTTTACCCAGGATCCCCAAAACTGGCAAATTTCAGATGAATACAGGTCAGATTTCAAGTTTGCCTGGATTCTCAGAACAACTTGTGACTTTGCATTGATATTGCACAAAATTCTGTGGCTGCTTTCATAAAGGTCCAACTCAGAAAAGAAAGAAAACGTATCCTAGTTTCCAAAGTTTTTTGCTAACCTTAGCTTTCCATCAGTCTCAACTTCAGAATGTCTACTTTTCACAAATAGCAGATGATCTCAGATGAATCAAAATTACCAAGTATTACATGCTGTACAACTTTGCAAATTCATTTTATAGGAATGGATGTCATAACACCAACATTATTTCTAAACATGACCCCCAAACCATCTTTTATATGAATGCATTCTTCAGGATTTGATGGATTGTACTTAAAAACAAAAACAAAAAGCTGCACCAAATCCTTTCAGTCATCCTTAGCTTTTGAAAGTTACATGATGCATTAATTATTACAATGAATATATATGGGTATAAATAACTATTGAAAAATTCCAACAAAAAAGACTATTTATAAAAAAGTGCATTTGGGGAAAAAACCCTATGTTGTCAGTATTTACAAACCTTTTTATTCCTGTCAAAAACATGAAAGTGAGTGTTATAATTTGTTTTTGTAAGAACATTTACAAAAAATTAAGTTTTCAGGAATGTTAAAAGAAATGCATTTGCACGAATGCTGCTACCAGAAATATCTGTAAAAACAAACACTTCTTTGGTTTGCTTATGTCCCCCCACTTATGAAATTCTGATGAAGAGTAAAAATATAATTTGTTTAATACGAATCAGGAATGTGGTCTCATGGTTACTGGACTATATTTAGAACTGAGGGACCTGGGATCAGTGACTGGCTCAGATACTGAGCCACCTTCTGTTCTTGGGCAAGGGACTTCACTATTCTCCATCTATGCACCTACTTTTGCTCTTTTGTCCCTCTTTCACATCCAGACTGTAGCATGTTCAAAGCAGGACATGCATCAGCACCTCTGTGTGCATGACACACTGCCCACCACAGTGGCTTGCCAGTTTAAGCAGGGATGATAATGCATCTAGCAGTAATATTTGCTCCCTTGCAAGTTTAACATGTGGCTTCCATCTTCTTTTGCAGCCAAACGTAATGCATGAAGCTGAGGCGAAATGCCCAGGCTCAGAGAAGTGATCAGACCTGGAGCTGGTCTTCCAAGCTGCTGGTCTTCCAAAGAGCACCTCATATTACTCTTACACCCATGGCAGCAAGTTCTAGGAAAAAAGGTTGTGCCCCCCTTATGGATGCATTTCTGTCCAGCTCTTCAGTCAGTTGTCTCCTTCACATCTGGAGACCTCAGAGTCAAACATCAACCAAGTACCGATCCTGTTGCTACACTTGAGATTATGCCCTATAACTGGTCTCTTTCACCACATTTAATTCATATAGTACTTTCATCCCAATGGCTGACTGCCCACAGCCCACCTTCAGTTTCAGTGCACAGCCAGCTGCAATCCCCAGGAGATTTGGTTGCATGGGCTGGCTGTTAATAAGCATTTTCCAAAATACAGGCAGCAAGACAATTGTACTGCTTCTGTCACTGCCATTTCAACCCACTCTGCCCACCTCAGCAGCTAGTGCTTGGTGTAGGACTGACAGTGCACACTGTTTTATGTGTGAATGTCAGTCTAGCTTTGGGGGCTAGCTGTGGAGGAGTGGTATATTGGATTCTCCTAAAAACACTGGAGGGTAGAAGCAGCAGGTTTTTTACCTGGGTGAAAACACTTTGAAGGGTATAGTAAAATCTCTCCTGAGGTAGGTATGTATTATGTGGAAAGATTTATTTTACTTTTTAAAGGGCAAGCTTTGAAAGCTATGAGGATTTTTATTCACTGGACATAAATCGTGTAGCTCCATGATGTTTATTGTTTCCATTGCAAGCAACTCAATCATGGTTGTAGGCCTGAACTGTTTCTTCTTCCAAAGTGACACTTACACAGCCATTTGCAGCCTGCCAGTGTGAAACAGACAATTGTGCATTTGCTATGAAGTGTGTATTTCATTAGAGCTGTGGTCAATGAAGTCTTTTGGTTTTGGATGGAATAAATAGCTGCAAGTGCTATGGGAATTCAGCAATGCAGACACTCTATCCCGTCCCATCACAAGCCCCGACATCTCTTGCTAGATTTTTGCAAAGGAGATGAAAAGCAAAGATTTATTTTTATGCCAAACAGCTCCAGCAAAGCTCCTCTGTTATCATGGGACTGGAAAGAAGGCTTGGGAAGCAGAAACATTTAGAGAAGCATCTGTAATACATGGCCATCTCTGAATAAAAAGAAACAGCAACAAAATGCAAGCATCAGATGCCATCAGGTAACTTGATGTGGGTGTGGGATAACAGCAGAGAGAGGGGTAAGTTCTCAGGGAATGCCTTCTGCCACCACGCCAGCCTCCCCCCGTCCTCCAGCGCACACGTTTCCCCATCCCTTATCCTTTCTGGAATACCTTTCTTCCAGCCTCATTGTTGTGCAAGTTCATCAGCCTCCGTGCATTCTTTTTGATTTCTCGGGCATCAACAAACCTCCGGGAGAACTCAATGCCGTATCTGATATCCGCAGAGCAGCCTCCCCACTTCCAGCCCTCCTCCTGGTTGTAGTAGCCCTGTTTCTCTCGGTCACAGCCACAATTGCTGAGGTTGCCCTGGCTGCAGGCGGCCGTGACAGCGTGTGCAACCCCGGCAGCAGTAATGGCATAGGTGAACGCAGCTTCCCTGCTTCCTGTGGAGAGAAGCCAAAAGCTGATGGGTTGGCAGAAAGGCAGCACTTACTAAAGAAAGTACACACATTATCTACAGCAACCGTGTCAGGCAGGAAT